GTCAGTGTCAGACCCATCTCTATCTCTCAGCCACCCAGCACCAAGGAGTCATTCCCAAACTGATGGTTAGACAGAGCAGTGAACCCATCTGCTGCCCCACCGAGCTGAGGTCTCCAAAAAACCAGGGACTCTCTGAGGCGTATCTGCCCCACACAGAGCAGGAATGCAGATGAATCAGCAACTGACTGGGTGCTAAGACTCTCCATGCAGAGGTTCGAGAGTGAGCGTGTGGTCACTGTTGTGACAATTCACAAAGCACTGTGATGTCCACACTTGCCTGGGCCTTGCACAAACTCCGTGGTAAATGCCATCACCCCTACGTCGCATGTCAGGAAGCCCAGGCTCAAGGAGTAGAGGGGCTTGCCCGAGGTCCCAGGGCCAGGTATGCATCCCCATTTTCTGACTCCACAGCTCATGTTTCAGCCACTGCCCTGTGACTGAGACTGTCCTTCACAGGCCTTGCCAGACCTTGCCCCGGACCTAGGGCAGAGCAAACAGGCAGCGCCCACTCAAAGAGCAGACCCCGTCCGAGCCCAGGGCTGGCCTCCCCTGCTCACATCTGCTCTGTCGCTGTGTCCAGAGCCTCTGGCGGGCCTGGCCCAGAGCAGGAATGCCCCAGGGGAAGGACCAAAGACCGGCCTGGTGACACATCTAGGGTTTTCCCCCCTGCTGCAAAGGGGTTTACGCTCAGACCCCTTCCCACTTTAACCCCCACCCCATGCCCAGGCTGGCCGCGTGGGGTAAGAGTTCTCCCCCCTCGCCCATCTCCGCGGCCCCACTGCGAGCCACCAGGAGGACCCCCCAACAAAGACCTGGCTCTCTGGCCTGGTCTGGCTCACTCAGCCATCTGGAGTCCCACAACCTTGGCTTCAAATATTGGCTTCTCCAAATAACTGAGGGACCTGAGACACGGGGCTGGCTTCACGGGTGTGTGACCCGTACACGTGCCCCAGGCCCTGCCCTCAGAAGGGCCCCCAGGTGGTTGAGTGTTCAGTTGCGTCTGTCTTGAAATTTTTAATTTTTGAGCAAGGGCCCTTCATTTTTATTTTGCACGGGGTCTCACAATAGGTAGTTGATCCTGCCTGGACAAGTTCTTGAACTTCCCTGAGCCTCAGTTTCTCTGGCTGCAGAAGAAGCCAACTTCTGGAGCTGCTGTGAGGCCAGTGGGTGAGAAGATCCTTTGTCAGCTGTAGAGGGCTGTGCCCTGGGAGGTTTTGTTCCCTCCAGGAGGAGAGGAGAGGCTTTAGAAAGACCCAGTAGCTCTCTTGGATAGACTAGAGGGCTCACAGAGTCCAAAAGCAAAGTCTTCAGCTCCCTGGGACAGCACTCTGGGGTTCGGCTTTGCCCTGTTCCCCCTCACACCCCCGAAGGTATGGCGCCTGGACTCCAGCCGCCCTTGGCAGCGTGGGCTCCTGGATGGGGTGTGGCCTCACAGGGCAACCTGCAGCACCCCCTTTGCATCCCCCACCCTGAGAGCCAGAGACAACACCACTGCAGTCCCCAGCCCATGTTTGCCGTTTGCATTCGGGGTGAGCCTGCAGTCAAAAGAGAGGACAGGCTGTCTGGTTTCTGCATCTGAGACAGTGGTGGCCCAGTACCAGGCCTGGGTGGCCTCTAGTCTTGGGAAACAGAGAGGCGAGGCTGCTTTTTGAGGCGGTCGGAGAGAGCGGTCCAGGGGGAGGGACCCAGGCTGATGCCATCCAAGGCAAGGAGCTCCTTCAACAGCCTCTGCTTGCAAACTCCCGGGGACAAAGCTCTCAGTGCCTGCCACCCAGGCTGGCCCATCCTGTAACTGTAGACTTCAGTCCCCAACCCCCGCTTGAGGCCAAAGGACTGGGTAGACTTTGTCATCCTCCCTTCTGTGCATATTGCATTGTGCCGTGTACATCTGCTAACCTCAGAATGACACAGCCACCAACCCTGTGCTGTAGAGGGGGTGCTGGGGGCCTGGCAGGTGCAGTGGCCCAGGCAACATAGAGGACAGGCTGGTAGCTGGTTGCTCAGTCCACTGCCCCCTCCCCCGCACAGCACAGGGCCCGGCCTCAGTAAGTACTGGCTCTTGGCATTATTGCATGAGCCTGGACGCACACCCAGAGTGAGCCAGTGGTCCGGAAGAGAGGGACCGATGGCAAGACTTGAATGTCACTAAGGAGGACTCTGGTCGTCTGACCCAGAATGGCAGCAGTTAAGGGCAGGGGCTAGAATCAGATGCTAAAAAAGTAGCAAGACCAGGCCTGGGGGCCCCAGGCGAAGGGGTGGATGGGGGCAGCATGCTCAGAGGCGGGGAGCCCTGGAACAGGAAGCGTCAGGGCAGAATACGGAGAGTATAGTACCTGCTGGCGCTGTGGGGTCCTGGGGTTGGGGCTGTCAGGGGGGTTGGAGTCAGACCCAGCAGTTCCCACCGGCTCTGCCACTTATGAGCCGCACAACCCTGGGTGGAGTCCTTGCCAGAGAGGTGGAAGGGGCAGGAGCCGCCTCACAGAGCTGCTAAGAGCCTAGGGGACATGAGGCTTGGAAGGCTGAGTTGGGACTGGAGCGGGTGACCCGCCATAACAAAGTGCTGTGGGATGAAGGGGTCAGCACCCAGAACAGCCCATGGGGCCTTCCCTGGGGGCCCGGAGCCACCCTCTCAGAACCTGAAGTTTAGGCACCAAACATCGTCTAGGGCAACATGGGAGATTAAACATGTGCACAGTGCAGGGGAGAGGCTAGAGAGTGGGTGACTCTCCACGCTGACCCCAGCCCCCTCCTGGCCTCCGCCTGCCCAATGGGTGCCAAGGCCCCTCAGCTCTGGAAGGCCAGGATTCCGGGACCCACCGGGGCCTCCAGGGATGCGAAGGGCCAACAGGAGCCCCTTTGGCCAGGACACTTCTCAGGGACACAGCCCCCAGTGCCCACGCCACACTCCACCTCCACTACCACAGAGAGCCCCAGTCGCCATCACTGTCGCCGAGTAAGGTCACGGATATGCCCCAGCCCCAGTTCTTCAGGGCCTGAGGCTTAACTACCTGCACCTGGAGAGCAGGCAGGCCCTCGGGCCCCTCTCCACCAAGGGGCTGTCCCACATAAAAGGCTGAAAAGGCACCTGGGACCTGCGTTGGCTCTTTGATTTGGGTCTGGGAGGCAGGGTTTCCTCTCTGGTTAGAAGTCCAGGAGGGAGAAACTACCATTTGCGAAGCAGCTCCAACCTGCCAGGACCCAGACCAGGCGCTTCACGTGGGGAGTTTGATCCTCACCTCAGGCCCGAGAGGGAAGGTTTGTTGCCCTCACCTGCCAGGTGTGAGTGCTGAGGTCCAGCCCAAGGGGTAGCCTGCCTGGGTCACTCAGTGAGCAGCAGGGCCAACGCTCACACCCTGGCCTGCCCACCTCCACTGCCCCAAGAGGGCCTGAGCAGGCCATATACCAGGCAGATCCTGGCTCCCACTAACAGGCCAGCACAGTGCAGGGAAGGGTGGTGGCCTTCTTTCTGCACCTGGGGCTCGGGAAGCTCCTTGTGGAGGTGGCCTTTGAGCTGGGCCTGGGGAGGCTAGCAGGCAGGAGGTCTCCACACCACTGGGCCAGCACACACAGAGGCAGGAAGGCTCACAGAACTGCCCACACCCAGCTGGAGGGCTAAGATTTGTGGAGACACACAGAGAAGAGTCAGGCTTGGGAGACTCGCCTTTCAGTCACAGTTACAGCTCATCCTATCATGGTGAGGGCATTAGCCTCGAGAGGTAGGGGCAGTGGCCCTCTGCCACCCATAGCCCCTGTGCTCGGGATGCTCAGGACGACACCTGCTATGTCCCCCTCCACCCGGCAGGATCACAGAGATGCACCCTCACACACACACACCCAGAAGGGAAAGCCCGATTTCCCCCCCTCCTGGCCCTGCCCACCTCCCACCCCCAACACACACACACACATGTACACACAAATTCAAGTTCAAAGGAAAGGCATCATGAATTTGGTATAAATAGCTGCAGGGACTCCCGGGTATGTATTCAGTGATCACTCCTGTGGGAATGCAGACACCACAGAAGGACAGACGGAATAAACCAGTTAGGGGGAACCTTCAGGGAAAAGGCACACAGGGCCAGGTGCCCAGAGGAAGCCAGGGTAGGCAGGCAAAGGGTTTCGGGTTATAAAAGATGGGGCCCTTGGCTCTTCGGTTCCCAACATCGAAGAGAAGAGGAAAGCCCACTCAGGCACAGTTCCCACAAGATCAAAGCACACAGATGCTTGGAAAGAAACCCAAGTTGAAAGGCTCAGAGGCCCAGGAATGGGCTCCTCCGTGTGCGGGCCACCTGCGCTCTGGTGACCCAGCTCTGCCAGCCCCTTCTCCAGGCCTGGGGAGGATCATTCTCACCACACGACAGGTTCGGTGACCTAGGCTCTGCCCCAGCCTTTCCAGGCCCTTTGAATTTGCAAAGGCAATAAAAACACTAGACAAGCTTCAAGTGGACAAAAACCAGACGCCTTTAGCTTATGGCTCAGTGAGAACAGATGTTGAGCTGAGTGCCTCATCAAGGTGATGGATGGTGTGCGGGCTCGGGGAACCCCTCCCTGGAGACTCCACAGCCAGGGCCACAAGCCAGTCCATGCTGAGACCAGTTTGGGAGCCCCAGGGACCGCGAGTCTGAGTTTGGAGTCCAAGTCCAGGCGGGACAAGGGTTTAGGAATCTGGCCCTGGGCAGCTAAATACCAGCCAGGCCGATCTCAGCAACGTTGACCTGTTGGCAGTGACCTTTACACCAGCATAGCCCTCTAGTGTGCAGACGTTTACCTACCCATCATCTTTGTCAAAGTGGGTCCTCCCCGGCAGCCCCACAGGAATGGTGCCATTCTCCCATTTTACAGATGGGGAGCCTGAGGCTCAGGGAAGCCCACAGCTAGAGAGGATCAGCCAGAACTCAAATTCAGGTGTCCTGCCTCAGGTGGTCCCCCCACGGATGGAGAAAGGCGGTGGCCGCCATCGGAGGAGACTGAGCATCTCTGTCTCTCCCCCCCCCCCCCACCAGAGACGTGTGCAGTAAACAACGGAGGCTGCGACCGAACCTGCAGGGATACGGCCACTGGCGTGCGGTGCAGCTGCCCGGTGGGATTCACGCTGCAGCCCGACGGAAAGACGTGCAAAGGTCAGCGTGGAGCCGCTCAGGCAGGGGCGGGGGCTGCCTGTGAGGGCGGGGGGCGGGGGGGTGCCGCGCCAGGGCTCCCCAGCAGGGTTCAAGGGAACGCTGCCTTGATAGGGTCCTGCTGTCCAAGGAAAGGGCTGCCCACTGCGCTAGGCTAACGGTGTCTTCACTGCGGGATCTCCTGGGCCCACAGGGATTCATCGTGGCCCTGGGCACGATGGCCAAACCCTGGGCGGGTTTGGCCATCTCTTCACCCCTGCCCTCGTGGTCGCATCTGGCGGAGCTGGGGCAACAGCACAACCCAGGGAGGTTTGGGAAGGACAGGTCTCCTTGTACTGGGATGGGATTGTCTTCTTGCCACCGTTAGAAAAATGAGGATGCTATGTGTCCGTGTCACTGGAGGAGTGACAGTGACGTGGTGGGGGCTCTCAGCGGGGGACTGGGGAGGCAGAAGGACCTCCATTTGCAATTAGAAATGAGGCTCTTGGGAGGATGGGAGAAGCTGGCGGGAACGGGCCGAGCTCCTGGCCTCTGGAAGTGAGAGCAGGTAGGGCTTGCTCTGTTCCCGCTTGTTCCCTGACTCACCCCACAGAGTTCCTGAGTGCCTCCAGGGGTGCTTGGGGTGTTAGGGGGTCCCTCAGGAAACAAGAAGTGAGGGGAGTGGGGAAGTGAGAGCTGGCTGGGCTCTGGAGACTGAAGGGGCCACCCTGCAGCCCTGACAAAGGAGCCCTGAACAGCCACGGCCATTGGGCAGGGAGTAGAGGGGACCACCAGAGCCCCCTGCAAGGGAGGGAGGTGCAGCCCCTCAGCGCCGCCCGCCCAGCACCAGACTGGCCCTTCAAATCCCTCTGCCTCTGGCCCCCTGCCTCCCACCTTGCCAGGGAGCAGGCCAGGCTGGGGGGCCATGAGCGGAAGGGAAGAGGACTTGAACTTCCCAAGTCCAGTGGGTGAAGATACGGACAGCGGAGGCTTCCGGTGGTTTTAAGTAGTCCAAGGGGGGCTTTTTTTAAGCCTGTAAAAATAGATAGCATGTGACTTCTCCTTCCTAGCTGCTCTGCTGGGAAGAAACTAGGGATTATTGACAAAAATAACAGTCCTTCCACCCGTTTATTTGAAAATAAAGCCCTTCTGTAGCCCCTGCTCAGCCCACTTGGAGCCAAGTGGCAACATGTGGACTCAGATGCCAGGGGGACCGGCCAGGGCTTCCCGCAGTCCCAGCCGTCCCGACAGCCAGAGGCGACACAGCAGGCCTGGCCCCACGCCCTCAGAGCTGGGGCAGAAGAGTGTAAAGTCAGGCCACGCTGCCTGCCTCCCGGGCACGGGACCACAGGCGGGCACGTCTCAGTTCCTGACGTGAGGCTAGGAGCTGGTGCCAGGAGCCAACCTGTCTGCGCCCACAGCCGTGCCCAAGCAGAGCACCTGCGGGGACCTCTGCTGCCCCCGCCTGGCCTTCGGTGGCCTGGGGGGCACCTGTCCCCGCCTCACCTCCACCTCGTGTCTGGGGGAGGGGAGGGGAGGTGCTGAGGGGAGCTCCCCACAGCCGGAGGCCCATCCTGCCAAGCCCCCCACCCTGCTTCCCGTGGCTCCTCCTGAACCACTCCAGCCCTTTAACACGGCTGTCTCCACTCAGCTCTTTGCCCTTGCCGGGACCCACTCCCTCCCACTGCCCTGCACGCGGGAGGTCCTCTCATTCACTCACATACCAGATGGGGTTTCTGGGCTCCTCCCCTGTGCAGGGGCTGGGGAGACAGGTGAATGGAGCAGACCCTGACCCTGGGGATCTTCAATTGGATGCAGAAGACAGTTTTTCAGTTTTTAAAATCGGAGATAAACGTGTATTACCGACTGCTTGGTGCTGGATGGAGACGTACAGCCCAGCAGAAGAGTGAGGACCAGAGCCTGCCCTGCGCTGGCAGGGAGGGCGTGGGGAGAGGCATTCGTCGGGGCAGCCTTTCCAACAGCACCGGGGCTGCGGTCCAGAGGCCAGGGATGCAAGGACCCAAAGGGGTCTAGTGTGCCCAGGTGTGTGAGAGGTGGGCCAGCCCAGGCCAGATGGTGCAGGGCCTGTGTGCTGGGGAGGGGTCGGCCCTTCATCCTTCCAAGCCTTGGCGAGACCCCCAGACACTCCTGGGCAGGGAAAGCACAGACTCGGGTTTTTCTTTTGAGCCGGTCCCCGACCACGGCTTGGGCGGGGTTCTCTGGGCAGGGGCTGGAAGAGCAGCGAGGCGGCTGCTGTCGTCACCCAGGCTGGGATGACATGGCTTGACCCAGGTGCTGGCCGCGGTGGTAGAGACGAGCAGTCCAGATATTGTCCTCAGAGGTAGAATTTTTTTTTTTTTAAGATTTTATTTATTTGACAGAGAGAGAGAGACGGCAAGAGAGGGAACACAAGTAGGGGGAGTGGGAGAGGGAGAAGCAGGCTTCCCGCAGAGCAGGGAGCCCGATGCGGGGCTCGATCCCAGGACCCTGGGACCATGACCTGAGCCGAAGGCAGACGCTTAACGACTGAGCCACCCTGGCGCCCCTTTCGGAGTTAAAATTTAAGGATTGTGGGACCAGACAAAAACTGTGTAATATCCTCAAATCAGGGAACACTGGAAAATGAAGGCTGACCTCCAGACCCCAGGTTTGGCGTCTCAGAGCCTGGAGCGCACAGCCTGAGCTCCCCAGGTCGGACGGGAGAGGTGCAGGTCAGGGCGCAGGCATTTGGCAGGACAAGCCCAGCTGGGAACTCCCGGCCCAAGGCTTCGGCTCCCCAGTGGGCGTGCACATCCTGGACCTGGCAAGGGCCCAGAAGGGGATATCGAAGGAGTGATTTCAAAGGTTCAGTGTATTCTGGAAGCCAAAAGCCATTGTGAAGCGAGACCGATGGCTGGAGGATGAAGGTAACAAAGGTCCTGGAAAATCCAGAGCTGAAAGCCCTGAGCACACAGGGCTCACACAGGCAGGTGGAGACAGGCATGGGAAAGGAGGGGTTATTCTGCCTGAAACATGGGGGCTGTGGTGCAGGAGGATTTGTCCCAAGCTCTGTTTCAAGAGTGTGGGCAGTGCAGGGGTTCAGCCTCAAGGCACCCTGTTCCCCTGTTCGATGCTGCACCCGCTTGATATTGGGAAGGGGGCACCTTGATGATTGGTTGGCCCTTCTGAGAGGAGGGAGTTCTGGGGCCTTGACTCCCGGAGCTGGAACCTGGATTTCCTCAGAGACCCCGGCCCCTCCTCCCAACATCTTCTAGAACAATCTGGGAGAACTCCCACCCACCACCTGTTTCCTCTCCTCCCTCACCTGCCCTGTGCCCAGCAGCGCACCCTCCGCACGAAGCTGTTCCAGGGTGATGCCAGCCCACTCCCACCCGGAAGCCCTCCACATGGCTCCCGGCTTGCCACGCTGTGCCCCCTCAGCGGGAATGGGCAGAGGGGAGCAGGAGTATTTGTCCTACTGTGTGTTCCTATAGCTCCTCCCCCTCCCCCTGATGCCTGAACTGACTGGCTGATGCCTCCAAAGGTTCTCCTTGGCGGCCCAAGACCCAACCCTTCTCTCCGATTCCTTCATTCTTCATCCACTCAGTGAATGCTGCTGGGCAGTCGCTCTGTGCAGGCCGCATGCTAGGCCCAGGGGCTCCAGACAGGAGCCAGCTCCCCCATCTGTGTCCCTGACAAGGGGACAGCGAACTCTGGAGGGAACATCAGGGAAGGCTTCCCCGGGAGGCCGCTGTTTCCAGGGGCTGGCCGTGTGGGGGCTGCACCAGGTGGGGCAGCCGGAGTTGGGCTGCCAAGGCAGAAGCCAAGTGTGCGGAAAGAGGAGGGCAGGGCATCCAGGCCCAGGACGCCCAGGGAGGGGCCTACAAAAAGGGGCTGGCCCTTTATCCTGGGATGACCGGGGGCCTCGGAAGACTTGCAGACAGGTAGGGGGCTGCTGGCTGTCTGGTGGGGTCGGGGGCAGCGTGAGCACAGTGAGGAAAGAGAGGAGCCTTAGAAGGGCAGGAAGGGGAGAGACTGCACCCCGGGGTTCCATCAGAATGAAGGTCCAGGGGCTTTGTGACTGTATCCTGGCTGGGGCTGGGGGTGCTTCCCCCACTCTGACCCCCAGGCAGCCGCCACACCAGCCTGGCCTCAAGCAAACATGCCTCCCATGGCCTGTCTGGTTGCCATGACAGCCCTTCCTCCGACAGGCCCAGATGGGGATGATGATGGGATTTGGGGTTCCAGAAGGCCTGAGGCATTCCTGAGGAGGCAGACCCGCTCTGCACATTTAGTCTGTGAGACACACCTGTTCCCAGCCCTGTTCACAGATGGGGAACCTGAGGCTCAGAGAGGTGCCTTTCCCTGCCCAGAATCACACAGCTAGCTGGGACAGAGCAGAGACAGGTCTCCATTCTCCTGCCAGAGGCTTTTAGCTAGAAATTTCCCTGTCTTCTTATAATCCCCAGGGGGAGAGGATGACAGAGGTGCCCAGGCCTCTGCCCAGGATGGGCCCTCAACTGAACTTAATGTCTGCTTTCTCTGGAGGCTGCAGGGCCAGCACGGTGCTCTGGAGAAGGCCTGTCTTTGGAGACGACTGAAACTGGGCCCCAATTTGGCTGCTGTGTGTAGCTGCAATCCCCTCTGTAAAATGGGGCATCTGGTCCCCCAGTTGTTTTGAAGATCACACAAGACTTAGCCAGAAAGTGCTTGGCCTGGTCACCAGCAGGTCACCATGAGGTGGTGCCCAGTAGGAACAGTGAGCACCAGCAGGTCTGACTACCTGCTATAGGGTCTGGGCTCACCCTTAGGCATTTTTGTTCCCGGAATACACGCGTGTGCAGAGTTCCTGGACTTGAGAAGTCATTGTTTTTAGTGATCATCTCGGTGTGCACACATAGAGCACCTACCGTATTCAGAGGCCAGGGTCTGGTTTCGGGGCCAGGTCTGGTGACCCGCAGGCCTCCCTTAGTGGGGACCACCTCAGGTTCCCCTCCTTTGCCACCCTTCTGGTGGCCAAAGTCACCAGAACATGCAAACAGAATGGGTCTTTGGGGTAGAGGTACCTGGGGTTGGGAGGAAGGCAGCCAAGGGCAAGGAGATGCAGGGCATGCCCACTGGGTGCCCTGCACTCCTCAAAGGCTGGTCCCGCAGGGACCCCCCCCCCAGGAAAGCCGCTCTGGGGTCCGACCCTGGCAGGCTTGCTGTGGCCCTGTGCTATGCTAGATCCCCTCCCTGGAGCTCTGAGAACTGCCCACAGGGGCGTCTCAGCCTTGCTCCGGACCACACACCTAGGGTTTGTTTTGTTGTTGGGGAACATTCTGTGGGAACCCCGCTTTAGGACTTTTCTGCAGGTGTCAGGTCTAGCTCGTTTGGTTTGAGGGGGAAAAAGTGAGGTGCCATCCGGGATTTGGAGTCGCTGGGATGGGCCAGAGTCCCCTCCATGGGGCTCAGCACAAAGGGGGCTCGGTGGACCTTGCTTGTTGGGCAGTGCCATTTATACAGGACAGGGAGCCCGGGCCCTCACACTCAGGACAGGCTCAGCGAGGGTGGGAGTCTGAGTCAGCAGCTCTGCTGAGATGTGGCCGGTGGCCAACTCCAAGAAGTCCTCTCTGGTTTCCTTCGCTTCCTTTCACCCCCTCCAAATCAGGGTGAGAACCCCATTCTGAAAGCTCTGCTAGTACGTGCTGGGTCGTGTCAGCATGGGGAGCCTTGGGGTCAGGGCCCAGGAGGAACTGTGGAGTCAGAAGAGACATCTCAGGGACAAGGTCTCTGACGACACAGTCCAGGCTGGCCTGGAACCCAGAGAGCAAAACCCAGATAAGCAGGGCAAGGGCGGGGGCAGGAGGGAACTCACAGGAGTCAGGGGGACGTTTGGGATGCATCAGCCAACAGGCGGTGCTGCGAGGGAGAAAGCCGCCCCGCCACTAGAGATATGTGCCATTGGCCAGGCTGCTTGGGAGGGGTCATTCATTGCATGGGGTTAGGCCAGGTGACCTTCAGGGTCCAGCCACAGCTCGTTCGTTGGACGCTGAGTGAAGAAACAGCTCAAACAAACAGGTGGAATTAGAGGGGGAAGCCAGCGAGCCCAGGAACACCCTTACCTTTCTAAGCCTCCCATCAGTAAAACAGGGGCATTAAACCTACAGAAGGTTGACTGAGCACTCACTCAGCACCAGCACCCCGGGACCACTAGTTCATCTGCTCCTCACGCTGTTCTTCCAAGGCGGGCGAGCCAAGGCTCCAGGGGCCCAGGAGCTCGCCCCAGGTCGCAGCCGTGGGGAAGCAGCCAGCCCGCTCCAGGCCGCACTGCCTCCCCGAGTGTCGTCCTGTCCCGTCCCCCGTCCCCGTGGTCTTGCCACGCACAGCAGCCATCGCTTCCCTCCCTTCTTTGCCACGAACGCCCGCCGGGCTCGCCAACTCGGGGAGGCGGCAGTAACTCAGCCTCCGGCCCCCCGCCGCTGGCAACCAGGCCCCTGGGCCGCCTGCTCCGATGGGGATGGGGGATGGGGGACCGGACCCGGCGGCGGCGGGCAGCGGGCGCAGGGAGGGGCGGGGCGGGCCTCCCCCCACCTGGCAGCCCCGCCCACTCGCCCCGCCCGCTGGGCGCCCCGCAGACATCAACGAGTGCCTGGCCAACAACGGGGGCTGCGACCACTTCTGCCGCAACACCGTGGGCAGCTTCGAGTGCGGCTGCCGCAAGGGCTACAAGCTGCTGACCGACGAGCGGACGTGCCAAGGTGAGCCCCCGTGGGCCCCCGGCGGCCTCGCCCCGCCCTTCCCGGGCCTGCGCGGGCTCCTGGGGGGGGGGGGGGGGGTGGGGCCGGGGTGTGTCGGCCCCCGCTGGCCGGTCCGAGTGTGCACCTGCCCCCCCCGCCCTCTCTGTCCTTCATGACTCTAGGTCCAACCCGTCCCTTTTATGGATGGGAAACTGAGGCCCGGAGGCGCATCAGCAGTTGTTGGGGGGGGGGCGGGGGGGATGGTTACCTCAGTGAGTCGGTGGCAGAGCTGGTCAGCTCCAGCACCCTGTTCTCCCGGTGGCCCCCGGGCCTCCTTCCGAGGCTTCGGAGGTGCGCTACCGCCGCCTGGTGGAAGGCGTGGCACATCGCAGGCGCTCTCCTGCAGCGCTTCCTTAGGGTTCCTGGGCCTGCGAGGAGCCACCAGGGTGATGTGAGGTCTGGGCAGAAGCCAGGAATCACAGTCCAGCACAAGTCCAGGAGACATCCGGGATGCAGTGAGAGCCCAGAGGATGGGCAGTGGAAAGAGTGGTCAGGGAAGGCTTCCTGGGGAAGGGGTCACTGGTGAATAGGCATTTTCCCAGAGGAGTGACAGACTGCACATGGCTCAGTGGGCCTCTCAGTGCAGCTTAGGGCTGGCCCTGGGGCAGCACGAGGCCCTGAGGGGCACGGGATGTGCTCTCCCAAGGACACAGAGGAAGGCAAGAGCAGGAGGCTGGTAAGGGAGGGTCTAGGGCCAGCCTGTCCTGAGCCCATCCTATGACCCGAGTCAGTCACCTCCCCTCCCCAGCTCAGCCTCTTCATTCCTTGAGGGGTCTCCTGGCTCTCTCTTCCCCTTAGGGCGTGAGGGCCCATTGGGGGCACTTCACCTGTCCAGACTCCACTACACTTTGACTTAGTTTCTCCATCTGCCTTGCCAAGTTCTGTGGAGGGCTAAGGGAGGGCCCTTGACTCTGTACTCCCAGCTGCCCCGTGAGACATGTGGGCCACCACTGAGGAGGAGGCCCTGATGTTTTTCCTTCTGGGCTCCAGCCAGTCTTCTGCACTCTTTACCAGGCTCGTCTCTCTGAGGCCCCGGGGCTCTGGCCATGTCCCAGCCCTGCTCCAGCACCACCCCGGACTCTAATTTCCTTTGCCTGGCACTCAGGCCCTTGGAATGGGGACCTCAGCCACCTCCCCACCCCCCCTGAGCTCCACACGTTCCCCTGGAGGCCCTGTGCTGCCCCCTCCCGACCTTTGCTTGTAGTGCCCTTCCCCCACTTCCATTCCTTCCTTCCAAGCTAGTCCCACCCTTCAAGGTCTAGTCCAGGTGCCACAAGTACCAGGAGATCTTCCCAGATCCCCCGCTGGGAGGGATCACATCCTCCTTTGAGCACCCACAGTGTGATTCCTTCCTTGTGCTAGAATTATTACAAACACACGTATATCATCAACGTGTGTGGTCACATGAGCTAATATATTCAAAGAATGATCTCCAACTACAGTGCCCATGGAAAGGGGGGTCAGTGGCTGTTTTGCCCTCAGGAGCCATCAGCTGTCCTATGAAAGCCATTTTCCTCCGAATTTATGGCCAGGACAGACTTGTCTTCTATGAGCATGCGATTCATTTCCTCCTTTCCAGTAACATGCACCCTGTGACCCTTTTTCCCTTTTACCTTGGCTGCCAGGAAGCTCAGAATCGAATTTCACATACTGTCAAGGTTTTCTTGTTATCCCTTATGGGTAGAATATTCCCCCACTCATACCCCTTTCTCTTTGGGCTGTTTTCCTTGTTTTCTCGAGATCTCTTGGAGTGATAGGAAAACACACTGTGGTCGGCATCCAGAAGGCCTGGTTTCATGTTCCAGTTCATTTGTCTCCTCAGGCAAGCCCCCATCAATTTGCTGTAGATGAGGATTAAACATTCATCCTGATCACAACTGAATGTGAGATATTAAAATGGCAGGCATAATACTTGTATCCAAAGTACTTACACCCTGCCCACCTCCAGAAAGGATGGGAAATGGCTTCTAACCCAGAAACATAAGGTTAACGGAGACAAACTGGAAAATCAGGCTGTGACCAGAAGCCAACATTCACTGTGGATCAGCTGTGCCATAAGCCTCGGGGGCCCAGGGACTGTCTGTGTGCAGATGCACGTTGAGCGACTGAGTGAGTGCCAGGCCATGTCCGCCCAGCGCCCTGAAACTCCTCCCCGCACTGTCTCCCTGTGGCCACACAGACATCGACGAGTGCTCCTTCGAGCGGACCTGCGACCACATCTGCATCAACTCCCCAGGCAGCTTCCAGTGCCTGTGTCACCGTGGCTACACACTCTATGGGACAACCCACTGCGGAGGTTTGCAGCCCGCCCGCCAGGGCCACCTTCCCCCTGAGGCACGCGCCTGGCCGCACGGCCACCTATGCTGACCCTGACCTTGACTCCAGAGGGCCTGGAAGGGACCTAAGCAAGGCCAGGTTCTGGTGGGCAGAGGGGCTCAGCCAAGAGCAAGGTAGGAAGATGGGGGCAGGGAGCAGCAAGTATCAGCTAGGTGGCAGGCCTCAGGCCAGGTTGTGGGCATAGGCCCCAGAAATGGCAGCTACAAGGGAACCTCGGTCCAGAACGGGGGATGGCCACTACACAGAATCCCACAGACAATTCGTCCCAGTGGGAGAGGGTGACAACAGAGAAGGGCAGCGTATGGAGATGGGGGGGGGGTCCTAAAGGAGGAGCATCTGGGTCAAGATGAGGGAAAGCATGCCAGAAGGATCAGCATAAGCAAAGGCACTGAGGTAGCTCGGAGGGACCCAGAAGCAGCTGGTAGAGCCCTGTGAGGGAAGGAGAATGTGGTGCCCGATGCTGACAGGGAGGAAGCAGGGCTTTGTGAGGCCTACAGGTGATTTGGGTTTTCTTCCTCGTGCAATGGGAGACTATTGGAGGGTTTAAGTAGGGGTGTGACATGGGCATGTTCAGGTAATGAGATCACTCTAGCTACCACGTGTTCAGGAGAGCGGAACCCAGGGCACCAGCAGGGAGAGGGTTCCAGGCATGAGAGCCAGAGCCACTGAGCTCGGGCAGGGGGGGAGGTGTGCAGAGAAGGGGAAGGTTCTGAAGTATTCAGCTACAGATGATGGGACTTGGAGATGTGCAGGCATGGCAAGTGGAGGGGGGGTAGCCAAGAATGGCCCCGAGGTCCTAGGGTCTCCTCATTTCCTGAGACCACACTCCCTCTGCTGGGCAGCTGTGCAGGTCGGATGTGGTCAGGTGTGAAGTGATCAGGCACAACTGGTGTTTTGGGGGCGGGGAATGGGCTCCTGGGGTGGGCTACAGATTCTTCTAGAGGGACCTCAAAAACCTGGGCACTGGCTCCCCTGGGCCTGCCGCTCCGACTGCAGGCTGCCCAGATGCTCAGAGCCAGGCACCCCAGCATGAGTGTGGCCCAGCCCCCTCCCCATCTCCAGCGGGCGCTCTGGTTCCTTGGTGGCCAGGGCAGGAAGGGGGGTTGGAAGTGGCTTCTTTCACCCTGGGGCCCGTTGCATAGAGGGGAAACAGCCTGTCCAAAGTCCCAGCAAGAGAGACCTCACGGCCCCTGCCTCACGAGACCTGCTTGGCGCTTGAATTTTGTGCCACCGTCTGCCCTCCCCTCCCCAGGCTGGGTACAGCTAGCTGCTGGAGGTTGGCAAAGGGCTGGAGCTCCTGGGGGAGGGGGCGGGGTCGGTGTCCGTGTCCATCAGCCTCGTGTGCGGCCGCCTGTCTGCATCTGATGCGTGGCCGGCTGCCGGCAGGGTCAGGGGACTCTCGGCCCCCCGGTCGTGGGTGGCCCTGCCCTGCCGCCAGCCTCCTGCCCTGATGCCCTTCCTCCCACCTGTGCTTCCAGATGTGGACGAGTGCAGCATGAACAACGGGAGCTGTGACCAGGGCTGTGTCAACACCAAGGGCAGCTACGAATGCATCTGCCCCCCGGGGAGGCGGCTCCACTGGAACCGGAAGGACTGTGTGGGTGAGTGCCCTGCGGTGGGCCACTGCTGGGACCCCTGAAGAAGGGCCCGGGCGCTGGCTTCCGCCGCTTCCGCCAGGTGCCTGGATGGGAAGGGCAGTGACCTCTCAGGGTGGGGTGAGCATGGGGTGAACAACACAGGGCCTACCTCTCCTGGGAGGGCGGTTCTCGGCAGGGAATCTCTGCTGCTGGGATGGGGCTGATGGGAAGGAGGACTTGCAGAAGAAGAGGGGATGCAGGCGGGAGAGCATGCTGGGTGCCAGCCAGAGGCACAGAAACGGACCTACAGGGGGCGGGGGACACAGAGGTGAAGATCTGGGGGTCAGTGTGTGCAGCTAGGGCTGTGGGCTCAGGAGGAGCTAGAAGCTCGGAGTGCACAGAGGCCTCCACGCCCCCATCTCCCGCTGGTCCTGCCCAGGAAGCTGGGGGAGGAGAGAGGGTGGCTGCTCGGGCTGCAGCAACATCAGAGTCTGGAGGGGAGCCCCTGGGTCTCCACAGCCCCGCCACCTGCCCAGGCCACCCGCCCCACAAGGTCCAGCATGGGAAGCGGGGGTGCTCCCAGCAAGCGCAAGGTTCCTGCGTCTTCTGCTGGTGGGCTCCGGAGACTTGGGGCAGCTCCAGGCCAAGTTCTGGACAATCCCCCACATTCATTGGTTCTACAAACACGTGGTCACCCACTACATGCCAGGCCTGCTGTGGATGCTGGGGCCACAGCCCTGAAATGGCTCTTAGATCCTTGCCCTGCCATGCCCTAACATCCCCAGGGCAGCCAGAGCCAGCCTTTGATTTTATTTTTTTAAAGTTGGTTTTTTCTCCACGCCCAGCGTGGAGCCCAACACAGAGCTTGAACCCACGACCCTGAGATCAAGACCTGAGCTGAGATCAAGAGTCAGACATTTAACCGACTGAGCCACCCAGGCACCCCCAGAGCTGGCCTTTTGAATCTCACTCCGAATGTGTCCGCCTCTGCTCAGAGCTCTCCACGACTCCTCTTCATGTGGAAGCAAAGCCAGAGTTCTTAGAATGGCCCAAAGGCTCCTGGACCCTGGCCTAATGGCCTTCTGCCCTCACCCTCGTCCACCCCATGCTAGCCTCAGTGACCTCGAGGTTGCTTCCCACCCCCAACTGACATGGCCGTGCCAGGGCTCCCCTCTCGGCCTGGAGGGCTCCTCGCCCCTGTCGCTTTCTCTCTGGGAGGCCTTCCTTGCACCCCACCCACTACCCCCCACCTCCTTGTTTTCTTTTCTCCCATCGTACTTCCCACGGCTAGACATATACATATATCTATAGATGCTTTACACAGCAGAGCACATACTTTTGTCTGTCTCATTCGCTGCTGTATCCCCAGCACCTAGAACAGAGCCTGGCAAGTGTAGGCACTCAGTAAGTATTTGTTGAATGAATGAGTGAGAGTATCGAAGAATGGATACCATCACTTAGCATCTGATACCAAAAAGCTGAAAGTATTGCTTACTTCAGTAAGGACCGCTGTGTTGTTCCGGCAGTCCTGGTGAGCAAAGCCAACTGCTGGTCCCGTCTGGAGTTGCAGGGAGGAGGCTGTCTGGGGCTGTGCTGGAGAGGAAGCATTAAGTGGTGTGCATTCCGGGAGCATGGCTTGTGCTGGGAACTAAGGCTGGATGGGTTGACTCCAGCCTGTGAATCTGCCACCAGTTTGCTGACTTTCCGAGCCTGGAAAGTAATGATTGGACGGGCTTTCAGAGGCATGTCTGCTGATTGATGAGGGTCGTGCTAGGTCTGGTGTTGACTCGTTCCCAAAGCTGTCGGGCCAGCAGGCTTTCTCTAGGTGTATGGGGAAGGAGCGCTTTTATCCTCAGCACCCTACCGGTCATCTCTCCCTCCGTCAGAGCTGCAGGACCGGCCACTGGGGCTTGTCTGGGTCCTCACACGGCCACCGACCCTGCTCTAAGAGTCACTGGTGGAGGTCTGATTGTCAGTCAGGGTGACTTTATTGCACTTCTCCTAAGTCATCTGCTAGGACTGTGGTGACTACATAGAAGCAGTTAGCATTCTGGACACTAGATTTGGGAAGACTGAGACGAACAAGCATAGCTGAAAGTGTTCTTAGAAGGTTCTGGAAGGCCCTCCAGACCCGAGACCCAAGAGTTCCCAGGGCTGATCAAGAAAACTCGTTCCACCAACTCCCTGAGTCTGCCGTCAGTGTGCAAGCTGCTTCCCCTTATAACCTCGACGTGGACTGCCCCACCTCACCTGTGCTGTGAATCCAGGTCCAGAGTGAAGGGCTGGCAGTGATGACCCCCCTGATTGGTCAAAAGAAAATCCAAGTTATCACTGTCACCCTGAGTGCTTGCCCTAGGAAGTCAGCCTGGTTCGGCATGCCCCCCACACCACGCCATGGGCTGTCTTATTTACTATAGCGCCCAAGGCGAGGGGCACATTTTTGATGACCACTTGGAGCTGCCCGATTCCTATGGATGGGACTGACAGCCTCCACGGTCTGCTTCAGCAGGTATCATTTGTGTTCCTCGGAAGCGAACTCTGTCCTCAGATGGCTTGCAGATGGCATCGTTCACTGAGGGGTTGGGGGAGCCATGTACTTGGAACAGTCTAATAGCCCCCCAGAACCATCAGCTGTGGTCCCAGGGGGCATTGATGAGCCAGACCCCATGTAACAGATGGGATCCACCTCAGTGAAGCTGTAGGGATATTGTCTGGGGTGTTGCTGTGCAAACTAGTCAGCTACATGGCAAGATAGCTGAATCCACCTTTCCCAGCGCGTGGGCATTCTCTTCTTCTATGTATTGCCCACAGAGAATGTCGTAATTAATAAGGTTTGTATAACGTACTTTATACCAGCTTTCAATACCGATTTCCCTAGCAATAGCTTGGGGGACTGATGTTAAAGAATTAGGATGGTGGCCATCGCTAGCAAGGCCTAGATCCAGGCCAGTTATTATTGGTGAGGGAAGCATAATAGAGCAGATCCTGCAGTGTATAATCTTAAACATGTAAGGTGGGAGAGCATGACCCGAAGAACCAAGAACAAAGGTCTGCGAAGGAGCATGTGCAAGTCAGTCGTTGCAAACATCAAGGAGAATTTATTCCAGTGGCCTTGGGTGAGAGCCATCCCTATGTATCATCTTCTGCCTGTCCTGAGAATCTTGAGAAATAGTTGGTTTGTGTGCACTGACTGCTTCTGGGGGTTCTCTTGAGAACCCCAGTTCAAGATCTGTAAGTTGTGACTTCGTAGTAAGTTCTGAAAAATCCACTTCTGTGTTCCCAAAAGATATGGAGTAAAAAGACAGTGAAACTTCTGAGTGATTTATGAATAGCCCTCCCAGTAAAAGGTGTCTGCATATTACTAAATAAATAAGTTGGACTATCCCAAATAAGGAACACAGGATCTAGTAATATTTTAGCTCCTACGAGTGCTCCATTTTTCCCAACAAGCGACTGCTTTAATTCATCCAGAAAGTAAATATGCTATTATAAGCACACAATTATAATCCGTCAAATCCATTTGGAGATGCTCAAGGGGTCCTTTAGGGTTTGTTCTGGTTTTTACTCTTTACCCAGGATTCTGCTGACTGCAGGTGAGCCTTGAACTGCTCCTCTCCTCTGCTGGCCTGGGAGAGTTTCTCACCTTCTCGTCTACCACCACAGCTGGTTTGTCCCCCCTGGGATGAGTTGTCATGAAGGAAACATTAGCACATGCCCGAGTGAGGTGGTCTGCTGGGTCCCGGGGGCCATCCTGGTTTCACTGGGATACCATTCTCAGGGGGCTTGCAACATGATTATTCCACTTGGCTCCTTCTCAGAGTAGGAAGGCAAACACAGTGTGTCTGCAATGGAATCCCCACACCTTTTCCATGGATCCGTGTCTCTGTGCTGTCTGTCGGAAGTCCTTGCCTAGGGATCACGGTCAGAGCAGCCCATTTAGCGTGATGACCCAGGAAACGTTGCCTCTGACTTCCAACCCTCGTACCGTGGTGTCTCAGTTATGGGCAGTAAACCTCTCTGTTTCCAGAGCATCACTAAGTTGAACACTACAGCTGTCAGTACGCAGAGCTACCCTTGATCTTCAGCAACGGAACGTGCCCTAGAGATGGCCACAGGTTTGGCCACTAGAGCCAACATGAGTCCCTTAGGACATTATTCCAGCCTGGATAGTTCTTGTAAATCCAGCCTGGTGTCATCTCTCCTCCTTTTGTTTTTTGTTTTTATTAACAGCTTCATTGAGATATAATTCACATGCCATACAAGTCCCCCATTTAGTGTGCAGTTCAATGGTGTTTAGTATAATCACAGAACTGTACAACCCCAGTGAATTTTAGAGCATTTTCATTACCCCAGAGAGAAACCCTGTGCCCATAGCAGTCATTCCTCATTTTCCCTCAACCCCCAGCCCTAGGCAACCACCATCTACGTTTGTCTCCATGGATTCGCCTGTTCTGGACAATTGGCATAAGTGGAATCATATAACATGGGGCCTTATTATTCCATTTAGTGTAATATTTTCAAGGTTCCCCCATGTCATAGTGCGTGTCACTGCTTCATTCCTCTTGACAACCAAATTATAACCCGTTGTCTGCTTAGCCCACATCTTGTTTATCCACTCATCGGTTGATGGACATGTAGGTTGTTTCCAGTTTGGGGCATGTCATGAAGAACGCTGCTGTGTCAACATATGTTTTCAGTTTCCTCGGGTGTACGCCCAGGGGTGGAATTGCTGGGTCATGCGCCCATGCTGGGTTTAACTTTTGAGGAACCGCTAGCCTGTTTTCCAAAGAAGCTGCGCCATTTGAGGTCCCACCAGCAGTGTGTGAGGTTCCAATTTCAGCACGTCCTCAGCCACCCTTGCTGTTTCCTGACTTTTTGATTATGGCCATCCTGAGGGGGGAGGGGTGAAATGGTTTCTCATTGTGGTTTTGATTTGTATTTCCCTGACGGCCAATGGTGTTGAGTACCTTTCCATGTGCTTATTGAGTATTTGTAGATGTTCTTTCAAGAAATGTCCGTTCAGATCCTTTGCCCATTTTTTAAATTGTATTATCTATCTTTATTATTCGGTTATAAGAGTTCTTCATATACTCTAGATACGACTTTCTTACCAGATACATGATTTGCAAGGGATAGTCCCCATTCGGTGAGCTGTCTTTTCATTTTCTTGATGGTATCTTTTGAAGCCTAAAGGTTTTTAATTCTCATAAAGTCCAATTTATCTATTTTATTTCTTTGGCTGCTTGTGGTTTGGGTGTCATTTTTAAGAAACCACTGCCTAATACAGGGTCCCAAAGATTTACAGCTGTTTTCTTCTAAGAACTTTATAGCTTTAGCTCTTATACTTAGGTCTTCGATCCGTTTCGAATTAATTTGTATATGGTGTGAGACAGGGGTCCACCTTCATTCTTTTGCCTGTGGAAAGCCCGTTGTCACAGTGCCATTTGTTGAAAAGACCATTCTTTTTTTTTTTTAAGATTTTATTTACTTATTTGACAGAGAGAGACACAGCGAGAGAGGGAACACACGCAGGGGGAGCGGGAGAGGGAGAAGCAGGCTTCCCACCGAGCAGGGAGCCCGATGCAGGGCTCGATCCCAGGACCCCGGGATCATGACCTGAGCCAAAGGCAGATGCTTAACGAATGAGGCACCCAGGTGCCCTGAAAAGACCATTCTTTTTCCCCGGTGAATTATCCTGCCATCTTCTTGAAATCAATTGGCCATAAATGTGTGGGTTTATTTCTGGGCTCTCTTTTCCATTGATCCGTTTGTCCTGATGCCCGTATCCCACTGTCTTGATTAACGTAGCTTTATAGTAAGTTTTTAAATCATGAAATGAGACTCTTCCAACTTGGTTTTTTGTGTTCAAGATTGATCTGGCTATTCTTGAACTTACTTTGAGTTTCCATATGAATTTTTGAAGTCTCTTCATTATTAAGATACGTGCCATCAACCAACAGTGCTGAGTCAGGACTTGGTATGGAATGTCCAAAAGATCTGTTTGGGATATGAGCACATCTGAAGTACAGACACACAGAGATGAGTTTCTCCGTCAGGAAGGGGTAGGAGTTGCTCGGCGGTAACATGAGAAGGATAAAGGAACCAAATACCATAATTCGTTCAATGACAAGCAGAGAAAATACTGGGTGTTTTCAGTTCTCAGTGGGGGTCATCCTGCATGTGGTACCCTCAGATTAAAGGTGATTCTAGGACAAGATCTGAAGATGCTCCAACTACGTTAGCCAAGGCATTGCCCTGAGGCAGGGAGGACGAGCCTTGGTCATGGATGTTTGCTGTGTTGCTGAGCTTGTATCCTGAGAGCGTGGCCTAACTTTTGCATGTTCGTACCAAAAAAAAAAAAAAAGAAAAATTTATGGCAGTCTGGACTCTTCCTGGGCTCTGTTCCATTTATTCTGCTGATGTGGAAGCTTTGCCCCAGGGATCCTGTTTTTGAATCATACGTAATATGTATATGAAGGCTCCTATCAGCTATAAATTGAATCATGCGTAGGAGAATTTTCTGGGACTTCTAAAAATAACCTCACAGATATATTTTAGGTGTATTTATTTGGAGACATATTTTAGCTGGCGGTTCCATTTGCAGAGGAGATTCTGCCCCACGACATGGGCAGGGGCTTTGACCCACGGAAGGGAGGGTTGTCTTCTGATAACGGCTCCCAAGGAGCAGTTACAGGTTGGAACTTGGAAAAGGACCAAGGCTTGTTAGAGTGTCCACTGCCTCAGTGCTTTTAGTAAACCAGAGCAAATCAAGGTCATGGCCTCCCAGCCTTCTGCAACTTCCTGTCTGCGTTCAGAGCCGCCTCTTACTATCTTCATTCATATTCCCCACAACCAGGCATTCTTACTTTAAGGCAAACAGAATTTTTTTTTCACTTATCGCCAATTTGCCTTCCCTCTTGCTTCTTAGGTGACTTTAAACTTTTCTCCGGGCTTTGGTGTTCAGTGGTGGTGGAATTAATGGGTGTATATGGTGGGGTCAGAGATTTTGCCTACATGCAGCTCGTAAGCTAGCCTGCTGCTGTGTCCCAGGTGCCCTGGACGTCCCGGAACCCCGGGGCCAGAGACGAAGGACTTCAGTACTCAGCACAGCAACCAGCATAAAAAGCACATTTGTGTGGGTTCCCCTGCCCCGCCCCCAAGTCCCATTTGCCCCCTCGATGCCGTGCAGGTGGAGAACTTGCATCACAGCCGAGGGACACCCAGCCTGGGAAACGCACCACTTTTATGGTGAACAGAGCCGGGCTGCTCCTTATCTAGAGATGTTCCCTCATCCCTCGAAGCTGCTCGAGGCAAACATAACCCTGACAAATGGTCTGGGGAAGGAGCTGCCAATGCTTTGTGTTCTTGGAGTCCCAGTGAAAGCCCCCAGCGAGAGCCCCCACGCTCAGGGCTGGGATGGTTGCCTCTCCCAATGAGTGGCCCCCATTGGTACCAGAAAGCAATATTGCTGTCCACCAGTAATCACTGACAATTCCCTTTAGGAATTTGGAGAAAGTCCAAGGAAGTGTTGGGGGCTTAGTCTCCCTTGGAAGTTTGTAGATGGTTGTCCTTCTGCTTCTCAACCAGCGGGGACATTGGTTCTTCCAGTGGCCCTTCTGTCCTGCATTATCTGCAGGTGGTTTTACTTGAAGATTCCTGATCCTTTGGGAACAGAGGACTTTCAGTCCTGTATTTACTTGGGGGCCAGCTGTTTTATCTGGAGGGCCGTGAGTTTGTTTTTATTTCTAGATTATTTACTTTCTAAGACTCCTTGAAAATGTCGAGCCACATGTTGAAGATGACCCACACGGGCAATTTCCCACTTCCATTTATTTTTCTGGCTGAGTCTCCTACTTCAGCCTGCTCCCCCGAGCGACTCGACCATTGACAACAGCCTCTGAGGGGCACTTCCAGGGGCGTGCCCATTTCAGCCAGTTGTCACTGACCAGCCAGACGGGGATAAAACCAGTTCTGAGTTCCATGGCTATAGACCTGTCAGTCCTTTTAATCAAAAGATTAAAAAACGTCTGAGAGGGACACCTGGGTGGCTCAGTCGATTAAGTGTCTGCCTTCGGCTCAGGTCACGATCCCAGGATGCTAGGATCGAGTCCCGCATCGGGCTCCCTGCTCAGCAGGGCAGTCCGCTTCTCCCTCTGCCTGTCACTCCCTCTGCTTGTGCTCTCTCTTTCTCTCTCTGACAAATAGATAAATAAAATCTTTAAAATAAAATAAAATAAAATAAAATAAAATAAAATAAAATAAAATAAAAAATACATAAATAAAAAATACCCGCAAAACTCTGAAGAGCTTAGTTTGGGATATCTCCGGACACCTAACGGATGTGTCCAGCAGCTGCCCCAGAGAGGGACTCCCAGGGACCCTCACATGCTTAGAAGTCGGTCACTGCCAAGAAGCCCATGTCACCTCCACCTGCTCCCTTATGCAGAGGGGCATGGACAGCTGCTCTGGAGAATCCAGCTGTGCCCTCTGGTCTGTGCCTGTGACGTGAGGCTCCTCACAGACAGCCTGGACTGGTCAGAGGGAGGAGCGAGCCAGCTCTCTGGGCCTGGCATCCCCACACGTCCAAGTACATGTGGACCCCGCCATCTCCCAGGCCTTTCCCACCAGGGTCTGGCCACGGGATGGGGATGTGGCAGGAGTCCCCCAGTGGTCCACACTCAGGGGCAGGGCCTCCAGAAGCCTCCACCCTGGCCCCCTCCAGCCCTCTCTTGTGTCTTCCCCCTCCTCAGAGACGGGCAAGTGCCTTTCTCGGGCCAAGGCCTCCCCCTGGGCCCAGCTGTCCTGCAGCAAGGTGGGCGGCATGGAGAGCTGCTCCCTTTCCTGCCCAGCCCACTCACTCTTCGTGCCAGGTAACCTGAGGCCATCCCCGGGAAGGGATGAGGGAGTTGGGCGGGGGGCTTCCTTCCCTGGGGTCCAGCCCCTGCTCCCTGCCGTTCTCCAGGAAAGAGCCCAGTCTAGGAATGAGGCCGCCTGGCCCTGATCACTGAGAGATCCTGGCCCACCGTCTGGTTCCCTATGGGACACAGCATCCCTCTCCACAAGTGCAGTGGGCTCATTCCCTCCCAGCTGCTTACCCACAGCAGCCCTTCTGAGGCCTCCAGGATCTGAGGCCTCCATCTCACCCCTGGCCTCTCTGCAGACTCGGAAAACAGCTACAGCCTGAGCTGCGGCGTCCCGGGTCTCCAGGGCAAGATGCTGCCGAAGCGCAACAGCACCAGCTCCAGCACTGGGCCCAGCTGCTCAGGTAGCCGCCGGCCTGTCCGGGCTGCCTGCACCCAGTGACCCCTGGACATTGCGTCCAGCCCTAGCCTGGGACGGGGGGGAGGGGCACTACCTAGGGAAGAACTTCCCGGCCTGGGGGCCGGCCCAGCGTGATCCCGGGTGCTGGCGAGCTGAGAGCAGGGCTGGGACCTCCGGGCCACACTCTGGTGCTGCAGTGACTCTGATCTGCTAGGGACTCCTCGGGTCTCAGACTCCGTTCCAGTGAAGTGAGTCACCTCCGCTGTGACCATGAGGTCCCAGAAGTCCTGTGCCCTGCGGGACCCGCCAGCCAGGTCCGGTCCGCACAGCGCAGCCAACTCCCCTGCCTGCAGGCGTGTCTTCAGCCGCTGTTCCCATTCAGGAGGTTGAATTCAATGCCATGGGGACATCTGTGTGCATTTAATGCATACAGGATGTGATGCTGAGTGTCTGTGATTGTCGGTTCTTTATCCAAGCGGTTGGAATTTGCTCTTGGAAGGGATCAGCAGCTCAGGGCCTGTGTCTTATTTCAAAGCCCCTTCCCTTCCTTGCTTCCCTCTCTCTTCTGTTCTGCCGCCATTCCTAACAGCATGAGCCACGCGAACTGGGCGGTGGGGGAGGAGGTGGGAGGCCTGCCTTTCCTCCTCCACAGAAGACCCCCGACCGTGAGGACCCCGGCTTGAGCGTGGCCCCACCATCCATGCTCCCACCTTTTCCAGGCCGTGCAGGGAGAGGAATGAGGCAGCAGGGTCCCCCCAGCCCCAGCCCCCAGTGGATTTGTCCTGCTGGCCGCCCCCTCACACTAAGGCACTCCCTCTGTGGCCCGCCCCCCCGGCCCCACCGCCTCCCTGCCCACAAGAGAGGCTGCCACCTGGGGGGATCTGGGCTTTCCCCAGGTGCGCCTGCCCCCATCAGGCAGAAGGCCCGCTTCAAGATCCGAGACGCCAAGTGCCACCTCCGGCCCCACAGCCGGGAGCCAGCAAAGGAGGCCCTGAGGCAGCTGCTGCTGGGTGAGTGGGCTGCCAACCCACACAAGGGGCGGTGGGGGTCCCCGCGCCTGAGAGCTGGGAGCCCAGCGTCCAGCGGGGCTGGGTTTCCAAGGGCGGGGGGCCTCTCTTCTTCCTCGCCGTCATGGTCCCTGAGCCCCAGGAGCCAGGCCTGGAGCCCTGTACATGGTGGTGGTGTCCCTTGGGAAGAAGGCCAGCATTGGAGTGGAAAATCTGGGCCCCCCAGCATCCCTGGGGCCCATTGTCCCTGCCTCACCCTGGGTTAGATGAGCTCCCCCAGGGCAGGTGCTGTGTGCAGCCTGACTGTGTCCAGAAGGCCCCCCAGGGCTCACTCAGGGGCTCAGTCTTGGAATGAGGGAGGCCAAGAAGGGTGCTCCAGGCGGGAGGGTAGCACGGGGAAATCTCGGTGAGAAGGGCCCGGGAGAAGCGCTTCCCAGCTCGGTTTCCACAAAGATTCCTGAACACCTTAGGATTCCTCCCCAAAGCTAACAGAGCGCAGCCCTCAAGCAGACCTAACCTGGGCTGAGCCCCACAGAGCTGAGCTTCCCCGGGGCGTCACTAAGGAAATATGTGTGAGGGCCTCCGTATGCAGCAGTGTGATGGACTTGGAGGGCTGGTGCAGGGCCTGGCTCAGCCGCAAACCCCTCATGAGACCTCGAGCCAGCCTGGCCTCCAGCCTCAGTTTCCCCCTCTGCACCACAGACTATTAGGCAAAGCAGGAGCCTTGCTGATGGTAACCTGTGCGCAGGGCTCTGTAGGACCCCGCTTCCTGCCCCGTGCCACCTTTGCCATGGCGGTCCCTTCTTTGTCCAGAAAACTGCCATCTGACCTTTGTGACCCTCAAATGTGACTCCTCCAAGAAGAGGCGCCGTGGCAAAAAGTCCCCATCCAAGGAGGTGACCCACATCACAGCAGAGTTCGAGGTGGAGACAAAGATGGAAGAGGCGTCAGGTGCGAGAGGCCGCGGAAGCCCTCAGGGAGGACAGGAGCCGGGGAGGGCCGGCAGGGGTGTGCCGGGCGTGAAGCTGGGCGACCACCTGAGCCACGGCTACTGGAGGTAGAGGCCAGCCAGGCAGTGGGGGAGCCGGGGCGGGGGGGGGGTAGGCGCCGGGTAGCCCGGGACGGAAGAGGAGACCCGGGGCTCAGGGGCCCACGGTGACAGCCACACGGCCTCTCTCCACCCTTCATGCCCTCGCTGGGGCCTGGAAGGGCTCATGCCTATGGAGCTTCTGGAACAACTGAGCCAAGGGCCTATCTTTCCCAGGTTCCAGAAGGGGCCTGTAATGCTGGCTTGAGTTTCATCAGTGCTTTCCTCTTGGCTGTAAATGAGTGCTGAGTTGTGACAGAGGAGTTTGAGATCTGTCAGCAGATTTGTGCCGTGTGTGCCCAGCTCCGGGCACTGTTGGAAAGAGGGGACCAGACCAGGGTCCTTGTGCTGGCAGCACTCCCAGCCATGGGGACACAGACCCACATACAAACCACCCAGTGCTGAGGGAGACGCTAGGTGGTGGGGGCGTGAGAGCAAACAGGACCCGGAGCTGAGAGGTCTCCCCAAGAGAGGGGCCTAGGAAGTCTTCCCAGAAGACTGATTTGAATCAGGACTTAAAATCAAAGTTCACCAAGTGGAGGAGGTTGGAGGAGGTGGCAGGGAATGACATTCAGGCAGAGGGAATGGAGTAGGCAAAGGCACAGAGATCAGAGGGAATGGGATGTGCTCAGAAGGCGGTGAGCCGGACAGGGCGGCTAGAAAGCAGAGTTCACAGTGGGTGTCGGAGGGCTGGGGGTGAGGCCTGGCAAGGCAGGCAGGGGCCCCACCACGAGGGGCCTTGGATCCAAGGCCAGAGAGCTGGGCATTGTCCTGGGAATAGTGGCAGCCTCGAGGGTGTTGAGTGGCAGGGAGGAGTGCCCGTGCGTGAGCCGTGTCCTGGGGAGGTGATGCGTTGCCGTGGCGGAGGCCCGGTTTCTCCTCCGATGCGCGGTGTGGCCTTGAGCGGCTCATACCTCTTGGACCCTCAGTCTCCTCATCTGTCAGGTGGACGCCACAATGGTGCCTCGGCCCCTGGCTGCCGCATGAACGTGCTAGGGGCCGAGGCCTGGCGGAGGGGGAAGCTCGGGGAAGAGGCCGCTCCCAGGGGGTTGTGAGTCACCGTCCCTCCCGCCCCTGCAGACACCTGTGAGGCGGACTGCATGCGGAAGCGCGCCGAGCAGAGCCTGCAGGCCGCCATCAAGACTCTGCGGAAGTCCATCGGCCGGCAGCACTTCTCCGTCCAGGTCGCAGGCACAGAGTACGCGATGGCCCAGTGGCCGGCCAAGGCCCTGGAGGGCCAGGGGGCGTGCGTCACAGGCCAGGTGTTACAGGACGGGAAATGCGGTGCGTCCCTGCCCGTGGCCACTGGGATGCCCACTCGGCAAACCTTCTCTGCCCTTCCTTCCACGGGGGGCCTGGGTCAGCAGACACACTGGGAGGGGACAGCGAGACAGAAGCCTGCCAGAGAGAAGCAGCCCCATGCTCATCATTATGGCTGTCGTTTGAAGAGCACTCCCCTGGTGCCAGGCTCTGGGCAAAGTATTTGCTGGCAGACACTTGCACGCACGACCCTCACCACAATCCTGAGGACGGGTGGGGCGGGGAGAGCGCAGGCCAGCACGGCCACAGCGGAGAGGCAGGAGGGGCACGGGGACCAGCCTGTGTGGCTAGACAGGGCCTCCCAGCCGAGGCAGCGTGGGAGCTGAGGGCGGAGGGGGAGCCGAGCGGAGACGCACGCGAGGCTGAGGGCCGCCCAGGGCCACAGCACAGGCTGCGGGGAAGCAGGCGAGGCCAGGCCCACGGCGGGAGCTCGGAGAGGGCAGCCAGCCAGGGTCCAGGCCCGGGAGGCAGGGGACTTGACCAGAGCCCCAGGAGCTGGCCTGTTGAGAGGAGATGGGTCTAGACACAGCTGCAGGGGAGTGGACAGAGCCCTTGTTCTGCTGGGCTTCACGTTTCCCCGGGGGAAGAAGGCAGCCAGTAAGCAAGCAAGCGCACCCACGGGCCAGGGGAGGCAGCCGTCTTGCGGGCCTCGCGGGCAGCGGTGCTACTCTGGTGCCGTGGAAACCACAGGAAGGTTCCAAGCAGAGGAGCAGGGAAGGGAGGCCAAGCGGGAGTCGGTGGAACCTTGAACGGGGAGTGGGGGGCTGGCGGCCGGACAAAAAGGAACGAGACAGGTTGAGAGAGCACTTTGGAGGGGCTTCGAGGGCAGCCCCCAAGGGCCACGGGGCAGAGGTGGCATCATTTTCTGATCTGGGGAGCCTGGGGAAGACGCGGCTGGGGGAGACGGAGTGTTCCGTCTGTATTTGCTAGCTCAGACACACGTGAGTCATCCCTGTGAAGACGTTGAATGGTTAGGGTGGTTGGAGCCACAAATCTGGGGCACAGAGCATAGGCTGGGCCAGAGAGAGAAACTAGGGATCACTGGAGAAGAGGCGGGATTTAGGGGTGTGGGGGGGAAGGAAGGACTCTGGCTCAAGCAATAGAGAGCGTGGCAGCAGGGCAGGGGCCTTCGTGATGTCATTCTTGTCTCTCTTTTTTTAAGATTTTATTTATTTCAGCGAGAGAGCACACACGAGGAAGGGGAGGGGGAGGGGCAGAGGGCGAAGCAGGCTCCCCGCGGAGCAGGGAACCCGCTGCGGGATTCGATCCCAGGACCCCGGGACCACGACCTGAGCAGCAGGCAGACACTTTGAGCCACCCAGGCGCTCCCTCTTCTTCTATTTTTAACAGCTTATTCTGCAATCATTTCAAACATTGGGAAATATGGCCAGGCAGAACGAGGAACTCCCATGGTCTCTTCATCCAGCTGCCCCCGCGTGCCGCCTCGAGCACGTCCAGCGCACGCGGTCCATCCCAGTTGCCCCACTGTCCCCGCAGCGTCCCTGTCCTGCACGTTCAGAGCCCTGTCTCTCCTTCCTTCAGTGTGGAGCAGTCCCTCGCTCCTTCCCTGCGTCTCCTGTCCTCCTGCTGTAGGGTGACCCTCGTGGGGCTGCATCCCACGGTTCCGGGACGGTCTCAGCAGGAAACTGCGCGGGCCGCCTGCTCTCCAGCGCCCCCGTCAGGAGGTACAGGATACTGACCCAGCCCCGCCCCCCTTCGGCAATTGAGGAGGATTTTCTGGGGATGTAGTAATTCTGAATTTATACCAACATCCTACTCCCCATCAGACACCCTCCCCCGCAGCAGCCCTCAGTGACAACTCCCAAAGCAGCCACGTCTCCCATGGTTGCGGGACGGTATCCTCCATTCCTGCCAGCCCTGGTCCCTGTGTATTAGTTAGCATTCTCCTGTCGGGAGCCTTTCCCTTCCCCCTCACTTACGGATGCCTCTGCGCATCCACATGTCCGTGTATTTATATCAGTGCGGACTCAGAGACTCCTCTGTTCTTCACCGGGTTGTAATCCAAGCCTGGGATTACTTAGTTCAGTGCTCAGATCATCCCCAGTGTAGCCAGTAAATTCCCCGTCAGACCCGGTTCCCCCATCCTTTGGACACACCCCACGCCCCCATCACTCGCTGAGGATTCTCGGGCACCAAACCTGTACTTTCCCTGCCCCAGCCTTCGCAATCAGCCAGGAGCCCCTGGACCCCTAGAGGAGGAAGATACGCAGATGCCAAAGCTGGGGTCCTCGCTGCTACTGGAGTGTCCTTGCTTCCAGGTTCTCTCATTGGACAGACCTAGAAAGTATGGGTGTATATCGTACATGGGTGTATATGTGTATGTCCATAGCTATAGATGGGTACCTAGGGGTGTGTGTGTGCGTGCGTGTGTGTTTGGAAAACCATGCGTTCACACCAATCCCTCCAATTCAATAGCTCAGAGTTCTTTCTAACCTCCCCTCTTTCCATGTTTCTAAATTTCTTCTCCAGAGAAACATGCGGCTCCCTCTCTCGTTTCCTTGGTCAGTCTTCTTACTCATCAGTTTGCTGTATGCAGCCGACCACACCAGCCTGGACAACCCTCAGCCACCAGGCCTCCCTGCCCCCACCTCTGTCACTCCCCCCCCCCGCCGCACCACCCCCATGTTCCCAGATGGCCGCTACACCCGACAGGGAAGGAAAAAGGAGGGTAGGAGAGCTGGGTTTGGACAAAATGCCCGTAGGGTGGCCGGGAAACGGTCAGTACGCGGGCCGAGAGGTCAGGGCTGGAGGGCAGGATGCAGAGCAGAGAGAGAACGAAGGGCTGAGCAGGAGTGGCCAGCACAGGGCAGGAGACCAGGGTCAGGCCTCTGGGCTCTTCACAGATGGCTGCTGTCTTGTTCCTACCACCAGCTCCCCTTTGAGCCACAGGGACGAGGGATGTGCTCTATCTGGGAGGACAGAGCCTGGGTTTGAGGTACCAGGAGACAGACCACCTGGGCACCACTCCCCACCCCTGCCACCGGCAATCTCTCCACTTTGCCTCTGCAGTGGCCTGCGGGCCTGGCACCTACTTCAGCGGAGAGCCTGGCCAGTGTGTGCCATGCGCGCCGGGGTCCTACCAGGATGGGGACGGCCAACTCAGCTGCACGCCATGCCCCAGCAGCGACGGGCTCGGCCTGGCTGGTGCCCGCAACGTATCCGAATGTGGAGGCGAGTGCGGGTCCCCCCTGGAGGGCGGGGCTGGGGGTTGCGGTGGGGGGAGGGTCCGGGGGCACCTCGTGTCTCTACTGAGGTCCCCAAAGCAAAGGCCCGGTCCCTGGGGATACTCTGTAAAGCTCCCTGCCGTGTGCAGAGGCTGGCATGACTTCAGGCTGCTACGCTCACAGAGGGCACTGGTGCCCTGGAGGATCTGTGTGCCAGCAAGCACTGGGCTGTGCCTAGTGCACCCGAGAACATGAGCATGCAGTTTGGAAAGGACTTTACAGTTTATAAACACTCCGTCCTTTACGGGCAACTTACTGTCTATAATGGAGGTATGTAGTGCCTTACAGTTGACCAAATATGTTACATGGTATGGAGCACCGCGTCATCATCAAAAGGCTTTATGGAGGGTCCCATATACTTGGCAAGAACTGTTCTCTACATGAAGAACTTTACAGTTTGCCCTATTGATGGTTTGGAAAGCCCTTTTTCAGTTTACCAGCACAACTTGGTTTGCAAAGAGCTTTTACATTTACCACCTCACTTAACCACGTCTGTGATACGGGCTCACACTCCCACCCATCAGCCTCCCTTCTCCGGCCCTCATGGGGACCACCCAAGACAATGGGTGCGGAAAGGTGTGCCTGCGAGGGCGGGTGGGTAGGATCCTTAGGGCAGTGGAGACCACCAGCCAGCTTTCTCTGGGGTACAGAAGAGATCAGAGCCCAGCCCTGAGTCTCCGCAGGCTAGCTGGCTGTGCCCTCCAAGAGTGTGGTCTCTGCCCTTAGTGGGGCCGGTGACTGAGAGCAGAGAGCAGCCACTGGTGGGAGCAGAGAATTCAGGGTCTGGGCCGAGAGGGCCCTCAACCCACCCCTCACTCGATGCCAAAGCACCCTCTGCATCCCAGCTTAATGCTGGGTGTGCTGTCCCCTCCCTTTTTCCCAGCCAGGCCCTCAGGGACCTCACAGACTCCCCTCCCTCTGCCCTGGCCCAGCCCTGCAGACACACAAGGCCGGTCAGCCTGGACCCCACTCCCTCATGTGGAAGGCACAGTGTGGCCTGCCCCCTGGGGGGAGCCCCTCTGACCTCTCCCCTCCACATGTGGGGTCCACACTTCCCAGCTTAACAGCAAAGCCACTTGCTCTTCAACCCATAGCCCTTCTTGCTAGTGGGAGAGGTGAAGCCACGCCTGGCCAAGGCCCCATAGTGCCTGAGCCGTTGGCAGCACCGGACTGGGGGTGGGCCTTGTGCAGCCCAGGCCCCTTCCCCAAGTCCCCCCTCCCCCCCCAGCCGTGGTCCCCTTCCGCCAGGGCAGGTGAGGGTTGAGAACAGGGTCTGGACCGAGGCGCCCCCGCCCCCATCAACCTGAGCCATGACCTCTGACTTTCAGGCCAGTGCTCCCCAGGCTTCTTCTCCCCGGATGGCTTCAGGCCCTGCCAGGCCTGCCCGGTGGGCACGTACCAGCCTGAGCCTGGGCGCACAGGGTGCTTCCCCTGCGGAGGGGGGCTGCTCACCAAGCACGAGGGCACAGTCTCCTTCCAAGACTGTGAAGCCAAAGGTGAGTCGGCAGGGCTGTGCAGGGACGTTTTCCCTCGACACCTCTCATTTCCCGGGTGGCAGATCTCCAAGGGCAGAGGGGCAGCCCGGGGCTGCCGACAGTGGACGCGGTGACCAGCCCCGGGCCACACGCCGCCAGGACAGGGACAGCGGGGTTCCACACAAGCCCACCCGACGGTCTCAGATGGGAGAGCCGGGCAGGCACAGTGGTTACAGACGGGAGCTCTGAGCCTGACTCACAGGAAAGTTTTGGGGGGTGGGGGGGTGAAGAAATGCAGGGCGGGCAGGGGCAGTGGGGCGAGGTCAGACGTCTCACCTTACCTGGAGACCCTCCCTTCAGGGCCGTGGGGGTCCTGCTATCTAGCTGCACCTTCCCCTCCATGGTCACCGAGTCCCCCTGATGAGCCTGCCTCCTGCCCTGCCAAGGGCCTCTTCCCACCCGCTGACCCTGATATTCTTGGGAACAGACAGAATCCTCCCTTCTAGAAGAGAAAACTCCATCTGCCCTCCAGTTCCTGCCAGGATTTCTCCTCCTTACTCTGAACCTTGTAGAAAGAGTGTCTGGACGCCACTTCCTCTCCCCCCACCCTCTCCCAAACCCCACTACTCAGCGTCTCACCACACTGCCCCCCATCATTGCGCCCATCAAGGCTGGAGCCAAATCGGTTCCCAGCTGGCACCTCCCACAGCCCCGTGGCCCCAGGCCCCACCCAGTCTCACCCACCCACCCCTCACCTGGTAGTGCTGGGGTTCCCCGGCCTGGGCACTCACGCTCTGGAACCTGGAAAGAAAGAGCATCCAGTGACCCCACTTTCTGTCCCCAGCCCCGCCTCTGTCCCGAACAAGATGCTACACCCTCCTGCCAGGGGACAGCCGCGGTCATATCTAGCAACCCACCTGTCACCCCACGTGGCCAGAGCCCCTCATCTTTGCCGCAAAGTGCCCCCCGCCCCGGCTCACACCAGCTCTGTCCTGCCAGGTGCCCAAGGAGACCTTGGAGTGGCCCCGAGTGCTCTCTCTCTGACCTCACATCCAGTCTGTCCGCAGCCCCAGCCAGCAGCTCTGAGCGATGAGCTCTCAGCGCCCCATTCCTGCCTCCTGAGCCAGGCTACCTGTCCCCCTGCCCCTCCCCCGCCCCGTCCCCTCCCCAGAGCATCAGACGGGACCATGCAGTGGCTCCAGGTGCCCTCCTCCCTCAGCGCAAAGCCTAGCAATGACCCCCTGGCCCCAGGAGCTCGTCCCCGTGGCCTGTGGCCTCCCCTCTGGCCACACCCAGCGCGTGCACGGCCCACTCCGGGCCCAGCTTGGCCGCTACGTCCGCCCAGATGGCCTCCCAGACAGCTCCACACCACTCAAGCCTCCACTCAAGATCCCTGCGCCCCTTGAGCAGCCCATGCCTGGCCTTACAACATCTCATGCCCCATTTATTGCCCCCGAACACACGCACCTCAGGGGCGGGCCTCGGTCTGCATAGCTCACTGCCCAGCTCCCGGCGGCCCACCACACTCCGCACAGCTGTGGACGGGGCCAGGACTGGGTGCGGGTGATGGGAGGCCACTGGGTGGTGAAGAAGGGCCTTGAACTCGGCACCAAGACAGACCTCAAGGGCAGGGAGGCGCCAGGGAGAATGCCCCCTGCCCTTTCCCACCTGCCCCCCAACCCCGGCCCACAGTGCACTGCTCCCCGGGCCACCACTACAACACCACCATCCACCGGTGCATCCGCTGCCCCGTGGGCACCTACCAGCCCGAGTTTGGCCAGAACCACTGCATCACCTGCCCGGGCAACACCAGCACGGACTTCGATGGCTCCACCAACGTCACACACTGCAAAAGTAGGTGCAGCTCTCCCCGCGGCCAGGGGGCTGGGAACACGGGGGTGGGCTGTTGGGGATGGGGTGAGCCCTCACCCCACATGGTGTCCACAGGACCCCGGGGACTCCGCCCGGCTCTAGCACATCCGCACGTCTGCTCAGGGTGATGCCCGCACCCCTGTGCTGCCCAGTGGGCTCTGCTCGAGGCTCCGGGTCTGTGGAGGGGAAAAGCAGGCCCACACCGGGGGGTCTGTGGGGCAGCGGCTGAGGGCCAGGCCGTGCTGCTCGGAAGGCACGCGTGGCTGGGCTGCCAAGTGGACACAAACCAGCCCGGGCGTCAGGAAGCAAGCGTGAAGTGTGGACAGGTGTGGAGGCGCCGGAGGAAGACCAGAGGCCTCCTCATGTCTGTGAGAAGCTCAGTTTAGCCAAAAGAAATGTGGGCAGCATAAGACAATTTGGGAAATAGATAGCCCAGGCCGTCATTTAGCAGTCATCTGGGCATAACAGACTTTACTTTAGATATTTTTAATTCATTTCTCGGAGTCCTCTGGGACAGATTTTCTGGTCTTGTACCCTTCCCCTAATCAATTTCTAGCCAGTTACCCCTTTCCTGGGCTGCTGGTCATGTCTGGGACAGCCCAAAGGGCCATGAAGGGGACTTAATCCTAGAGCTGGGAGCTGCCCACTTCCCCGGGGCATCCCCTGGGGCTCGTGGCCTCTGGGGACAAAAGAGCAGGCACAGTGGTGGGGCTCCACAGAGACAGGGTTTTAAGTGTTCTCGTGAATAAAAGTGGAGAAAGCAAATAGGAGGGAAGCTTCTGGGAAGGTAAGGTAAACATGAAATGCTTCCCAGAAATTTGGATGTGAAGTGTTTTATAAATGAAAAGGTGTAAGAAAATTATGTATATTTAGTATTTCCGTTCAGTTCTCTTTGCAGACCTAAGGTGTAAGGGTGAGGGTAGGAGCATTTAGCTCATGAAGATGTCGCATTTGGCCTCTTGAGGATTACGAAGCTTAGCTACAAAGGGAAAGAAAGGGAAGCATGTCTCTTTTTCCTCACTGTGCTGCCTGTTGGTCCCCGAGCCTTCCTGCTTGGTGGGGAGGGCGACCACACCAGGACCTGGCGGACGCCGAGCGTGGAGTGCGTGGAGGGAAAGGGGGGTGGGGTTTCACCGAGTGGGGGGCTTTCATGCGGGCCACCTGCAGGAGCAGGGCTGGCGGGGGAGCTGGCACCGGGTGGGCCTGCCCCAGGGCGCCCCCCACCACCACGACCAGGAAGACGACCTTGTGAGATGAGCGGCCCAGGGCCAAGCTGGCTGGGGGGGCCCCTGGGTGGAGGTGGGCCGCGGGGCCGTCGAGGGCCCGCCGCCCACGTCCCCCGTGCAGCCGGCCTGAGCAGGCCCGTGGGGCCCCGGTGCCCACAGACCAGCACTGCGGCGGCGAGCTCGGCGACTACACAGGCTACATCGAGTCCCCCAACTACCCCGGCGACTATCCGGCCAACGCCGAGTGCGTGTGGCACATCTCGCCGCCCCCCAAGCGCAGGATCCTCATCGTGGTCCCCGAGATCTTCCTGCCCGTTGAGGACGAGTGTGGCGACGTCCTGGTCATGAGGAAGAGCGGTATGCACGGGTCAAGGCAGGGCAGCAGAGGGGCCGCCCGGGGTCACCCGTGGGGCGGGTTCGCAGGCCACCTCTGTCGGACCCAAAGGGCTCCGTGCCAGGTTGTGGCGAGTGTGGGGTGCACCCTTAGCGTGGGAGCCAGGGCCGGTCTGGTCTGGTCTCCGTGCCGACCACAAGCTAGTCTCATCCCGGGGTCCTGCCTGTCCTGCCATGCCACCCAGCGTGAGGCCCCAGGAGCGACCCCTGCTTCGCCCACCTCCTGCTACCTCTGAGGCTCGGGGGCACACGCACAAGATGCCCCAGGGTCAGACAGCCTGTCCCTTCCCCTCTGGGAGTTCCAGCCTCCTGGCCTGTCACCCCTGTCAAGGGGCCAAGAGCAGTGGGCCGCGGCCCTCAGCAGTGGGTGAGGACAAGTGTGCGCCCAGATGGCCACAGCAGCGAGAAAGGCGGGAAAGCCCCTGAGCCCCCCAGAAACCAGGTTGAGTCCCTAATAGCATGTGCGCAGGCCAGGACCCCTCACGGCTGCTGTCAGGTCACAGTGCCCCCAGGGAGCACGCCGCAAGTCGGAACGTCAGGGAAGAAGGAGGCAGATGCAGGCGGACACAGAACACTCCTGCCCACTTGGGTCTGGGATGTGCGTGAGGCACAGAGACTAAGCAGAGGAGAGAGAGATGGGGGGAGTTTCCGTCCACTCTATTCCCCTTGTTCTTTGTTACCATATGCGAGCCTCGCCCACTCCGTGTCTCTGATAAGCCAGGAAGCCTGAGGCCAGAAAGGGGAGGGAGCCTGCCCGGGATGCCACAGCTGGTCAGAGCCCAGCCGGAGACCATCTTCCCCGCCTCCTCTGTCACCAGCCTCCCTAGTCCCCAACATCCTCCCCTCCACTGTCTGCCCACAGGGTTGAGCTCTAGGGGGTCAGCTTCTCCCGCCTCCAGGGCATCTCAGGAAGGCTCCCCAGGGAGCAGTGAGGAGGTGGGGCACCCTTTGGACAGCCCCATGCACCCCAAGGTCAGCACGCTCACCCTTGTTCATCTGCTCATAGGGAGAGGGGACTTCCCAAATGGGGCCCCCCACCCCAGGCCTGGCTTGTGCTGGGTGTGGGCATGAGCCCTATCCTGGAGGAGCAGTTGGCTGGAGAAAGACAGTGACAACTCAGCAGAGAGGAGCAGTGACAAAGGGTTCACCAGGGCAGAGCAGGAACATGGTAGTGCGAGGACGGAGCAGTCGGGGAGGCTTCCTGGAGGAGGAGACACAGAAACCTGCTCTGCAGGATGAGTAGGAACTGGGGTTGAAGGTGGGGACTGGCATTTGGGGCAGAGGGAACACGGGCAGAGACTAGAGCTGGACTGTTTGGGGGACTGGGCACGGGAGCTGGGCGGCTGACCAGGTGGGGGAAGCACGTGGCCTGAGGAAGGAGGACAGGGGCCAGGTGCAGGGATGCGGGTCAGCCAGCCGCTCAGCCCCCCTGCTCTGTCCCCAGCATCGCCCGCATCTATTACCACCTATGAGACCTGCCAGACCTATGAGAGGCCCATCGCCTTCACCTCCCGCTCCCGGAAGCTCTGGATCCAGTTCAAATCCAATGAAGGCAACAGCGGCAAAGGGTTCCAAGTGCCCTATGTCACCTATGACGGTCAGTGTGGCGGCGCTGTGTCTGGCCCTGCAGACCCGGAGGCAACAAACACATATGGGGTGGGGAGTGGTGCAGATGAGGGAGCCATGAGTGGTGTCTGTGGCCTTCAGCGTGACGTACTGCCCAAGCAGGGTTTTGAGGGTTGACTAGGAGTTTCTAGCTAGCCAAAACTCGAGGTCAGTTTGGGTGGAGGATACAGGTTTGGAGGCAGAACTGCCTCTGGCCAAGGTCTGAAGTCTGAACGTGGAGCAGGGGAAGGCAGAGGCTGAAGGTGAGGGGGAAGCAGGCAGGGGTGTGGCACCTTCACCTTCCTTCCTTCCCTGCTGGTGGGTTTCACAGAGGACTACCAGCAGTTGATAGAAGATATCGTTCGCGATGGACGGCTCTACGCCTCGGAGAATCACCAGGAAATTTTAAAAGTGAGTGAACTTCCTTATGGCAAAGGGTCCATGTGATCCCAGGATGGTGACCTGTGATGATCCAGGGCATGTGTCCTTGCAGACCAGGAGGGCCGAGACAAGCTCCCTGGTGGCGTCTAGCCCAGGACCTGGTGACTGGTCTTTGGGCTCCTCACCAGCTGCCAGCCTCACTTCCCTCATCTGTGAAACATGGTGGGAGCTTAAAATCAGTAGAATCCGCCCCCACCTTTGGGACTGCCTGCCTCGTCATCTTGCTCGTGGCCTTAAGAAGCAGAGCCACCTTGTCATCGAGGGGCACTGTGTCTGTCACGCGGCAGGCACTGGCCAGCTCAGGGCCCCGACCCAGGGATTTGTTCGGGCTCTGGGGGTCTGGCCCTGGCTCGGCATCTGGGAAGCTAGCACTCCCAGCCTGGGAGCCGAGGTGGGCGGGGCTAGAGCAGGGTTGGGGCCCCTGGCTGTCATGTCCCAAGTGGGTGGCCCTGGGCAAGCCCTCTGAGAAACCAGGGGTGGCTCGCCAAGTGTGGGTCTTCCAGCCCCGGGGCTGGCACAGTCCTGCACACAGTAGGCAGTTTGTAAGCAGAGAGCTTCCCCCCGATGCTACTGCACCAGGAGCAGAGCTGGAGATTCTAGAGCCCGTCTGTGTAGTGGGAACCGGAGGGTCGTGCTGGCCTCTCCATCGGTCCATCCTGCAGACAATGCCGGCTTCCCTCCTCGCCCCTCCCCTGCCGCCCTGGCCCTCTGCGCACGGCTCCACCCTGCAGCCAGGAGCATCTTTGCAGAACGAGAAGTGTTTCCATCACTTAGGACAAAAACCTTGGCCCTCGAGGCCCGGCTGGGGATGGCCCCCACCTGCCTCTGAAGCTATTCTGCTTCTCTCCCTCTCCCTCTGCCCCTCCCCCAATCATGTGGGCTCTCTCTAAAATATATAAATAAATCTTTTAAAAAAAAAAATCAAAAAACAGGGCGCCTGGTTGGCTCAGTCGGTTAAGCGTCTGCCTTTGGCTCAGGTCATGGCCCCGGGTTCCTGGGATCGAAACCCGCGTTGGGCTCCCTACTCTGCGGGGAGCCTGCTTCTCCCTCTGCCTGCCGCTCCCCCTGCTTGTGCTCTCTCTCTATCTCTCTGTCAAATAAATTATTTATTTGAGAGAGAGAGAGAAACAGCACGAGAGGGGAGAAGGTCAGAGGGAGAAGCAGGCTCCCCGCTGAGCCGGGAGCCCGATGTGGGACTCGATCCCAGGACCCCGGGATCATAACCTGAGCCGAAGGCAGTTGCTTAACCAACTGAGCCACCCAGGCACCCAATAAATAAAATCTTTAAAAAAAAAATCAAAACACAATTCATGGGGAAGAGAGTCTGTGGGGTCTTCCTCCCCTTCCTTGCAGACACCCCACAGGCCCCTCCAGGGCCCCAGACACTGAAGAGGCCCGCAGCCCCGGCCCCCTGCGCAGCCTCACCCCCCACCTCACCTGTGTCTTGCAGGACAAGAAGCTCATCAAGGCCCTCTTTGATGTGTTGGCGCATCCCCAGAACTACTTCAAGTACACAGCCCAGGAGTCCAAGGAGATGTTCCCGCGGTCCTTCATCAAACTGCTGCGCTCCAAAGTGTCCCGATTCCTGCGGCCCTACAAATAATGCCCTGCTCGGGGATGGCGGGTGTCCCGACGGGGAGGGGAGCATGCCTTCCCTCCACAGGAGAGGCTAGAAGGCGGCTCCACGGGCCTCCACACTCTGCCTTGGGAAGCCACCACGGCGTCTGCCCTTCGGAAACACGGACCAGCCCGTGGCGGTGAGACCACATCCAGGCCAAGACCCCGGCCCACCGCACTCCTCGGATGGCCCCACTGGGAAAACACTGCGGCTTTTCTCCCTCGCTCCCTCTGCCTGTTCGATTCCAGGACAGCAGCCTCTCCTGAGCGGCACTAGAGGACTCACCCGGGGCCAGGACACCCTGTGCACAGCCAGGTCCTGGGCAGAGAGCACATTTGGGGGGGTGGCACGTGGCCTTACCTGACGCCTCAGGAGGGGGGAGGCGTGGCTGCCTCTGTCCCCAGGCAAGCTCTGGGAGGCATCATCTGAGACAGGAAGCCAGGCTGCAGGGGGAGGGGTGTGGGAAGGCGTCTGGGGAGCTTTGATAAGCCAGTGTCTGCACCTGCAAGACATCCACACCCCACCCCACTCCTCCGGCCACGGGCCCGGGACACAGGCGCCATGTGGTGAGGCTCTAAGGATTCTGTGGTGGGACAGAAAAGAGCTGCTAGCGGAGGAAACTGTAGATTTGTGCTTTCCCTTGATAGAGCATCTAATTAAGTACTATATATATATATAACTATAAATATAAATATAATATACTTCTATTTGTGGGTATTCTAGGAAAATCCTCTTTAGTAACTAAAAATATGAAATGCAACCCCGCCTCTTCCCTCACAGGCTGTTGCCAGCATCCCTGAGTGATTAACCGCCCCGCCAGGTACTTGCCACCGGTTTATGTGAGGCCAGGAGCCTGCAGGATGGGGAGAAGGCAGGCTGGTTCTGGACACACTCTGGAATACACATTCTTGGGGAACTAGGCTCCGATGCTTTGCTGGAGTGTTGCCCTCAGATAGAATGTGGTAGAAGGCAGTTTCCCCTTGGGCCCTTTCCTGTGGGTACAGGGGCCCAGCAGTAAACTTCGAAAGGGGCCTGTGCTGACCCTGAGGCCATGACCTTGGGGTCTGTGCCGTGGCCTCGTGCCACAGGGAAACAAGGCCTTCCCCACGTGAGCACAGGCTGTGCCACTGCGAGAGGCCTCAGAGGGCAGGTGGCCAGCTTCCGGAGGCCAGGCCCTGAGAGTGCTCTCTTCTTTCTGCCGTGCCACGCTGCGCCCCTCGGAGAGTCCGTCTTTAAAGAAGAGACGTCCAGAGTCTGACCCGGTTGCATGGTGTCCCCCTCAGCCAGGAAGCCCGCGCCAGGATAGAGCCAGAAAACTCCCCGCAGCGCTGAGGCCTCGCCTGCCGGCCACCACCCATGTGACATGCATAGGGGGTGGTCTATATCTTTAGGGTTAACAAATGTTCACAATTCCAAGAAACGGAGAATCTTAAAATGAAGCCCAGTCACCCGTCCCAGGTGCCCCTAGGCTGTGCCCTCCTCCTGCCCCCACACCCACGCTGAGTGAAGGGCACGGTTTGAGACCCGTCCATGGCATGCTGCAGATGGTGAAGCCTGGGGCCGGGCAAGTGGGGTCTGGGGGTCGGTGACGAGGCAGGCCAGGACAGTTTCACAATCCAGAACAGGGCTGGGAGCTCAGAAATCGTTCCCTGCCGCCGCCCACGTCAGCAACGGGCAAGTCCCCAGTTTGAGGAACGCTCTGCCACAGGCGCCTTTTCTGCCAACATCCAACTCAGGTCGGGAAGGGGCCCAGTGGGCAGGTCAGTGTGAGCCCTGAGCCCTGTCTGGGCCCACACCACCCTTCCCTGGTCACGGGCCATGAAGGCCAGCCTCGGCTTCCAGCAAGACGCCTGTCTTCCCTCCCAAGCCATTGCGCATCCCCAGAAATTACACGAGTGTCCTCCAGAATGGCCCTGAACAGCAACCACCCAGGGGAGAGGACAGGGAGGGGTTTTTTAATAATGTTCTCAAAACAGGACCAGAAGGGCTCTAACCTTTCTTGAACGCTTCCTGCTGACCCTCTGGGTGGTTTCGGGCAGTCGCCACCCACAAACCGCCCTAATCCACTGGCCCTTCCAGTGGGAGCCCTCCCATGTTCTGTGGCTCTCCCCCACCACTGTGGTCAGACCTGCCTGCTGTTCCCCCAACAGAGCAGGACAGATGTGGGGCCCCTCACCCTCACAAGTACCAGGAAGCCACCCCAATTTGCCAGCTGCCGACACATCGCCATCAGCCCCCGCCCCACCATCAGGGGCACTCAGAGTCCAGGAGTGGGGCTTGTCCTTCATCTTGATGTCAGCCCTGAGCCCCACCCTGGGGAACTTGAGGATCCCACTGTTAAAGCCAGCGCTGTCCCCGGTCGTCGGAGCCCAGTGGCCGTGGGAGAGCTCCCTGGGCAACAAAGCACATTTGTCTATGTTCCCGTGTTATGGAAGCTGGTGGCAGGGCTCGAGATGTGGAGGGGCTGAGCCAGAAGGAGCACACCCCCCTCGTGGATGGGACGTTGGCCTCAAGCGGCCCCAGCCCAGCCACTGTCGCCCCTCACCTGGAACGGACCCTCAGCGGCTGGCCAGTCAATAAACTCCAAGGAACAGAGCTAAGGAAGAAGCTTCTGGAAGCAAAATCTTGCCCATTTGGCCGGGACTGAAAGGGGCCAAGGCCTGGAAGTCCTGAGGAGCTTGGCTCTGCTCCTTGCGGGGCAGCCGGGGACGCTCTCTGAGGATGGCAGTGGAAGACCAAGGGGGCCCCCCCACACCGGGTGCCTGACGACGGCAGTCGGGTGGGACCCAGGACTGGCGGACCTGGAAGAAGCCCTCTGCCCCGCACCCCTGGAATCTCCTGGCTCTCTGCTTCCGTGGAAACATGCCGAGGAAAAGAAGAGACTCTGCCTCAGTTCCAGTGGCCAGCTGGGCCCTCAGCGAGGGAGCACTGGGGTCACCTCATCTGCCTCCGAATTAGGCTATTTTCCCAGCTACGCTCTTGCCTGAGCCAGGGCCTTGCAGCTACGGTGCTGTGCTGGCCTCTCCCCCCCGCCCCCCCCGCCCCACCGGGGCTCTCCACTTAGTCTCGACTCGCCCCAGCAGGTGGCCTGGGCCAGTGGTGGTGACCTCGCTCTGCCCAGCTCTAGCTCCCCAGGGGCAGTCTTTGCCAGTCCCTCCTCACTTCTGTGGTGACAGAATCAAGGGGGGGTGGGGCCCAAGGTGGCGACCTCAGACAGCTTTCCCTCCTGCCATCCGTTGGTTGGGGACACGCAGATGAAGTAGAACCGTAACCCGGGCCAGAAAGTCACCAGAGATAAACGGCCCCAAGAGGCCGCTTCTGAGAGCCCAAAGACAGAACTTCTTTCCTTCAACCTCTTAAAACCCGTGTTTCCTACCGGAACCTTCGTTCCCCCGGGGACACGGCCAAGATCAGCCATTTTCCACGACAACAGGCCCCAGCCTGCTGGAGCTAGAGTGGGGGTCCGAGTGACATTTGGGGGTTGGATAATTACGCAAACGTCTCCACCCACCACCTTCAGCAGGAAAATAAGATACTGAGCTAAGTTAGGTCATTTAGCAAACATTTGCTGAGCGCTTACTGTGTGCCAGGCTCCTAGGAAGGAGAGACCGCAGCCATGGGGCTGGCAGAATCCCCGGCAAAGTCCCTCTTGGTCCCAGCGATAAAGGAGATTGAGGCTGGCCTGGGGGTGGACAGAGCCCAGTGCTCCTCCAGAGAAGGCACTCCGTCCTTCCAGCGCCTCCCAGCGCCCCGGGTGGGGGATGGAGGGCGTCGACAGAGGGCAGAGCCGAGCAGGGGTCGCCGGAGGCGTCCCGAAGTCCATCTCCCAAAGGAGGAACTGCCGCCCGCCCGGCCTCACCATGTGGCCGCCCTCCCCCCAACCCCCGGCAGAGAGCTACACGGAGAAGAGCGCAGCCACCATGCCCAGGACGGCAACCTCCACCCCGCGCAAGAGGCCTCTTTCTTCACCACGGATCCACATGGTGGCCGCTCAGCCCTTCTGACCCGGGTGACAGCGCCGACCTCATTCAGGCCAATGGCAGAAGGACTGGCGTTTGAGAGACACTACCCGTCCACAAGGAGAGTCAAAGCCACCAGCTCCTCTCCTCCCGTGGCTGCCTCTGGAGGCGCTAGTTCTGAGCACCTGCTGTATGCCAGACACAGGTGTGGAGCGGAGCTGGAGTCGCCGTATCCAGCTTGCTTCTTGCAGAGGGCGGCAGGAGGGGGCAGGCCATCCCCAGGCCCAGACGCTGCAAGCATGGCCACGCGTTCCCTCCCAGCACCCTGCACGGATGGCCCCCAAAGAGCAGGACCCTCTGTTTCTCTGAGGCCCTAGATGGGCCCCTCAAGTCTCAAGAGGAAGCAGTGAAAGGCCTGAGTCCCCCAGTCGCCAGGCTCTGGGGGCAATCCCTAGGGCCCTGCGAGGCGGGTGGGGCCTGACGCTCCTCGGACGCGGGGGGCGAGACTCTAGGAGGCCCAGTGACATGCCCCTGGCAAATAGCTAGTAGTTGGCAGAACGGAGACTCAAACCCAAGCCCATGGAAACCCAAGCTAGGAGATGTCTGTCTGTGGGATGTTGACGACTGAATTGTATGGATTGGGAATGCGCTGGGGAGCTCCGGGGCAGGGATGTGGCAGGTAGGGAGGACGGAGGTAGAGGAGTGTGGACGTAGTGACCTCCCCTCCCTCTGGAACAAGCGCTAAACTCAGAGGAAGGCCGGCTTCTGCCTTCTCCCCCTGCGTGGACAGGATGGGAGTGTCCGTTCAGACTCGGGCCCGCAGGCCAAGCACGGCCCTGCGCACCCCCGGAGAGATGCTGTGCGCCCCCCGTCGGCCCCTCTCGCAGGCTCCGGCGCACAAACATGAGAAAACGCGGGTGTCCCTCGGCAGACCGTGGGCTGAAAAGTAGGGGCACAAAGAGAGCTCACTGGTGCCCAGGACTTTGTTTTCCAGTTCAGAGGCCATGTAGATCCCCAAGAAATGTC